TTAAGGTAGTCCACAATTGGGATTTAAACTACAAAATGTTTATTTGTTATATTTGTCTTAACTGTATGAGTGACATACATATACCTAGAAACTAGCTAGCTCGAGGCTTTGGTACTAAACCACTATCATAAGTATATCTAATTATTTTTAAAATGCTATGCACCTACTAGAGATAAAATTCAAAGTTCAAAACGTTTCCCACACTTTTTTCAAATCAATATTTGGTCCACAAGTTATGTTTCTGATCAGTAAAATAATAATCCCAGAAACACTGAAATTCAGTTGGCTAACACAACTTAGACTTGTTTTAACAATGTGAATAATGTTTCACACTTTCACCAGATGTAAATTTTACCACCAGAACTTGTTACTGGCAATGAAAAGCTACACGCGGTCAAACGATTCCCACACTATTTTCAAAGGCCTAAACCAAGATCATAACACATGGAAATCATTTCAAATAGAAGGGATGTTGCCAGGAATAGATCTTTCCCGGGGAATTTTTAGTGTGCGTGCAATCAGAGATAATAATAGTCTAGGCAGTTTCTTTTTTCATAGAAAAAAGCTGGGTTGTCAATGAGGGCTGTAACCTGTAACACCTGTTACGGCTGAGTACTTTTGATGGGCCTTTGATGCTACCGGTGAACTCGCCTATACAATTAACACATAATGTAACACGTTTGTAGCAGGTGTGAAGATCACGGCTACAAGTGAATCAAAACTTAATGACAGCCCTGAATAAGTTTAATCAAAACCTAAGAATAGCAGCATGACTCTATGATTTCTGGCTCAAAGTAAAGATTTGTCTCACCAGGCTGTTGTCACAAAGGCATTTAAGAATCCAAACTCGTTGATGAAGAGTTAGATCCATATAGGACTTTTCCATCAAAGGATTTACTTCACCTGAAATGGTAACAGGAGACAATTTCTTCAATTCAGAGAAAAAATTAATTCACCATGCACTTATACCGTAAACCTTTGACATAATGAAAGGAATGTATGTAAACGAATAGTAAAGTAGACTACAGGCAGTCAGTCTTTTGCTTAGTCCGTCAACCGTGGCAGTAAATAAACCTTTTCCCTTTCTTACCCCCAGGATTATGTACAGCCATTTTTTTCTCTCGCTTTTCTTTCACATCATATTGTAGTATAATAATAAGGGGAAAACAACTCACCCAACGTTTCAAATGTAGCCATATCCAAACCAAGCTGATGACAAGTCTAGAAAAATAAAGTTAATAGCAAAGATATTCTCATTACAGATATGTTACAGATGAAAAGACCTTCTAAAGGTTATTAAAGACAGGGCAGGGTTGAACACATTTCATCTTGATAGCTTAGTGGTTGGTTTTGTAAGTAC